AGTAATGTTAATAAGAATAATATAAAAAAAAACTACAATCTCTGATCTCAAAATCGTAATGTGCTACGATTGATATCAATAAAAATTTTTTTGGAGCAATGTTACGTCGCTCTTACGGTATATAATATATCCTGATATCCATATATTAATACTATATCTAAAAAAAAAAAAAGGTCATCAAGATTGGTGGTGGGGCGTGAACTCAGATAATAGTTTGAGGGGGGGCGTGGACCTCAAAAGGTTGAGAACCCCTGCAGTTTAGAAGTTTCAAATACCCACAAATAATATTATACAATCACAACAAAATAACTAAAATAGGTATGCTAGGTTTTTGATTATGTAATTTCGTAAAAATTTGAATTTAAAATGTCTGTAAAAAATAACTCTGTTCATATATTTTTTTAGATATTTTGGTTACAGTATGAACTATTTATGAGAACATTTGTTTTAAATTTGCAATTCTTAGCTATAAAAACTGAACATTTTATAATTTATTAATTACAATGATTGATAATTTTCGAGATTTTGATACATTTTGTCAAAATTCGATCTTTAAATGCTTATAAAAAAAATTGTGCCTATGTATTTTTCAATTGCTATTGTAACAATATATCAGGAGCCTTGTATTAAATTTTTACACATTTTGGCAAGATAGATAAAACTTTATTGATATTTATAGAAAAAAAAAACTAAAAAAAATCGAAAGCGGTAAATGTCCGTAAATATCTCAAAGAGTCAAAATATTTTCAAAATTGTATGGTGTATAGGAAATGCTAGTTTAAACATTCAGTGAAATTTTCATGTATCCACAGTTATTCGTTTTTGGATTACAACAAAATAAGGAAATCGCTACATGAGAAATCGAGTGAATATCCAATGTTGTAAAAATTTGAATTTCAAACGCTCATTAAAATTTAATTTGACTTTCCGGTAGAGATTTTTTATTGATAAAGGTAGACAATCTTATGAGTAATCTTTTATTAGATTTTCAAATCTTAGATTTAAAAAGAAAAATTTTTACGAATTTTTAACTCAAAATAATTTGCTAATTTTCGTGATTTTTCCATATTTTGTCAATTTTTGAACTTTAAATGCTTATAAAAAAAAAATTGGGACTATGGATTTTTAATATTTTTCATCTGTGTTTGAAACAATATATTATTATTAGCCTTCTATTAAATTTTTATGCTTTTGAACAAAACAAATAGAATTTTATTGATATTTATAGAAAAAAAAACTAAAATAATGAAAACTGAAAATGTGCTTAAAGAGCTCAAAATAAGTCAAAATATTTTGAAAAATGTATGGTGTATAGGAAATGCTAATATAAATATTCAGTGAAATTTTCATGAATCTACAGTTATTCGTTTTTGAATTGCAACAAAATAAGGAAATCGCTACATGAGAAATCGAGAGAATATCCAATGTTGTAAAAATTTGAATTTCAAAAGCTCATAAAAATTTAATTTAACTTTCTTATAGACATTTTTTTTTTTTTTAAGGTATACTCTGTTCAAAATGAGATGATGACTCGGCGGCGACCAGTTTTCGTCGGGTGGCGGTCAGACGATGTCCCCACTACGGCGATGCGTCGGGCGCTGCAATGGAACAAAGCCACGCCCATGCGCACAACTTGGCCGCCGAGTCATCATCTCATTTTGAATAGAGTATAGATAATCTTACAAGAAATCTTGTATTCAATTTTAAAATCTTATATTTAAAAAGAAAAATTTTTACGAATTTTTAACCCAAAATAATTTGCTAATTTTTGTGATTTTTCCATATTTTGCCAATTAGTTGAACATTAAATGCTTATAAAAAAAATTGTGACCAAGGATTTTTAATATTTTTCATCTGCCTTTGAAACAATGTGCTATGAGCCTTCTATTATATTTTCAAGCTTTTTTAAATAACAAATAAAATTTTATTGATATTTTTAGAAAAAAAACTATAGACAATGCAAATATAAACAACCAGTGAAAATTTCATGTATCTACGGCCATTTGTTTTAAAGATACACCAAAAACCAAATTCATTTTTGTGAAAAGTCGATTTTGCATAAGAATTCCTGTTTTTCCTTAATTTATCTTTTGTTTTTCTTAAAGCTTTAAAAAATGACTGGGAATTTTAAATTTTGGCCTCCCAAGTGCACCAACGATATTCACTTTCCAATCGAACAAGATACTGAAGTTGAAAATCGAAGCTTTATTTCGACTACTTATCGTGTACACAGATACAAAAAAAAAAAAAAACACATCATTGTAAAATCAATACATTCATTGTTTCACTCAGAATCTAAAATATAATTGTCATAGCCACTACTCACCAGGTAAAAATCGACATAAATTCATATTAGCTATAGACGACCAAACGCCATCACTTGGTCTATAAACCTCAACACTTTTAAGATGCGCCCTTCCATTAAAGCCACCAATTGCGTACATAAGACCGTCCAAGACTCCTACACCAACACCTTGACGGTATACAGACATTTCTGCAACCGGAGTCCATATGTCAAGCGTGGGATCATAATATTCAACAGATTTCAAATAGTTTCTATTACTACCTCCAACCTACACAATTTAAGAAATGAAATGTAATACAAATTATAAATAAATAAATAATATAATTATTCACTGAGTATAGACGATTATTGAGTACACCAACGCCCAAATTACGTCTCTCAATTGTCATACTAGACACCATTCTCCATTTTTGGGTAATTACATCAAAAAGCTCCACACTATTTAAATCACTGTTGTTGCCGTCACATCCGCCAACCTAGAGTTACAAATAATATAAATTTTTAATATAAAATAAGTAAAATATTGATTTAACTTACTGCATATATACAATCATCCAATACACCAACTCCTAATTCTTTTCTACTAACTAACATGTCAGCCATTGGAACCCATGATGGTGATTGTGAAGATACGTCAAGCAGACTAACAGATTTAGAACTCGATCCATTTACACCTCCTACAGCAAACACAAATTGATCACGTATTACACCAAAACCAGCATACTTCCGACATTCATTTATTCCTGGTGCATTCTTTCTTAGCTTGGTTGCTGGGTCATACCATTCAGTATAACACTTTGGCGATGTATTAGACCTCGTATTAGACTTACTGAACATTAGAAGAACCTAATAGAATTAAATGGATAACATTATTGTGAAGATAAATTAATCAATTTGGAATAATACTTTTTGAAAACTATCAAACTGTCTAGGTTTAAACCAAATTGTTTTTGGAATGGTGAAATGCTGAACTGATTTTTGATGATTAAAACGTATTGCTTCAAATATATAATCTTTACCTAAAAAAACAATATAAAAACAATTAATAAACATATAATAAATGAATTCATTATAATGATGGCATATAGTTATGAGAATAACATACATTTAAGACTAGTGTTTAGAAGAGGTTCTTCATATATATTAAACAATATATCAGGCTTTAATAATGGCAAACGTACATGTTCCATTAACTTTGACAAAAAATCTACTCTATGATCTGAATCATGTTTTACCCATTTGATAACACATTCAAATACCTGCAATAACAAATACATAATACTAGAATAAAATATAATAATAGTTTGTACAACCATTCAATAATGTATAATTTTCACACGATCCCAAAAATATAATAGATCTTTAAGATCATGGGTTCCTACTTTTTATAACAGACAAAGGAATATTTTTTAAGTATATGTGATAGTTATTGCCAATTAATTTTAGTCGGAGCTGACCGCAAAACTTCAACGTCATAAGGTAGATACAATTGATTTGAACTAATTTTAAAAATGTTTTGATTATTTTAAAGCTATTTAATATTTATAGACATTTAAAATTAGACATGTTTTTGTTTATTAACAATAACAGTCAATAAAATTATATTTTATGGTAATCAAGCTTTATTGATTTTAGTTATTTAATTTAAAAATATTATTTGTAGGAACATAAAACTTTAAAGTTTAGTGTTATATTGTATGCACACAATGATCTTTTCATATGCAACTTTTTTGGAAAAATAATTAAAACTGCTCCAGAAATACAGTATTAATAATGTCTAATAGTAAAATAAATTAGTTTATTAACAATATCATAAAATATACTTCTAGTAATATTATTAAACTGTATTTGCTCAGGATCGTTTTTCGTTTACAATGATTTTATATCATTGAATTCAAATATAACACATCTGATACAGTGATTCCTGTAGAGTCTAGACATCAACTGTAATGTACAACTTGTAGACCTTCATAAGTAGATTTTCCATACATAATATTAAAAATACAATTTTTAGTTTGCTTACTTTTTCTTCAAATGGAACAGCAAGGTCATTAGAGGAAATAAGCTTCACCAAATCATCAGAAGATAAGGATAGAAAATCTTCGCCTTTAGCTACTTCTCTGGAAATAATAATAATTATTTTTATAATAAATTACCTACTTACCCTTAATATAGAGAATTAAAAATGTTAATCATACAAAAAATGTCGTTTAATATATGCTTCAGAACTTGACAACAAATCAGTACAGTTATGTAAGTCAGCAAACGCTCTGATACCAAGACAATTTGATTTATTCAGTTGTTTTTGTAAAAACTCAGCACATACACCATTTACATAATCTAACTGTAATACATCTGCAGCTGGTAATAACACCTTAGAAATAAAAAAAAAATTCACATAAAATGATATTATGTTGTTTGAAGTCTATATAAAATTAAATATTTAAGTTACCTGTACATTTTCTTTTGTGACCATAATTTCTCCAGTATAAATATAATCTACTAATAGCTGTAAAATTGTGGAATCTAATTCTCTTATATTGATAAGATCTTTATTGCTTTCGTCAAAATTACTAAACATTGCACGGAAATATGGACTAGCTGCTATTAGTACATTTTTATGTCCAATTACAATTCTACCATCATCTGCTTCAAATCTAACATCGCATAAAAACTCATTTCTAAAAACAAAAATGTAAGTGATATTTATTTTGAATGAAGGTAAAATCACTGTAAACACACTTGCGTAGAGATTGTAAATTTTCCAGTATTCTTACAGAGTGAGAGTCATTTCTAAAATTTGTTGGTTCACATTCCTTTGATTTCAGAATTTGCTTTAGATTATTTTCACAAGATGAAGTCTGAATGGTATCCATTTCTTTTACTGACGTTCCTAACAACTTTAAATATATTTTAAAAATTGTGATTAAATTTAATTATCATCATTGTGTTAAAACTTAATACTAAATTTAGGTGCTTTAGAGTTTAGACAGGGTAAAAAACAACATAATGCTGATGTTAAGAAATTATTAAATTATTAGTCAGATTAAATTAGGTAAAATAAGTTTTTAGAATAGGTACAAGACCTATTTTCCTACTTACTGCAGTTGAATTCAAATCAATTTTTGAGTTCTAGACAAATGTATGGTACCTATTTAACTATGGGCTAATATACAAAATAAATAATCGATGTTGGTAGGGACAACTGGGATAAATGAAGTCAGAAGTTGTGAAGTAAGAATGTAAGATGAGAATTGTATGTTAGTCATAATAAGTTCATTATATCTAAATTTATCCAACGCACATGTACTGTATGTTGAGCATATTGTACCTATATTGTTATTTTTACTATGAACGCTAATAATAATATATTATAATAACACCAAAGTTGGGTATACTCATTACTCATTAGTAATGCTTGGTTTTTGTAGCAAATTCTTCTTTTGAGGGGAGTGCCATAGAAAGATAGTTCTTATACATAATTACGTTTTGAATCTTTCCGATTTTAATGAAGTAAACCTTGTTTTGCTTTTTTTTGATTTTTTCCTCAAAACCTGCTTTTAATTGCTTTTTCCCCTACCTATTTGGTTCTTTTTTTTTGATTTTTACATATTTTTCTTGAAAAAACTTCAACTTGGACTTCATTATTATAATCAGAAATAATAAAACCAGTAATTAATGTATGACTGATAAAACAACTATGGTTATTATGCCGAAATAGTTTTATCTACAATTATCTATAGTTGTATTTACGACTCAAGGAAAGAGAAAATTATCTGAATTTTACCTGCATATTTTTATAGCACGTTCTAATACTGTAGTTGGCCGGTAAAAGGATAGGTATTGTGTTAAAACAAAAGTTAGAGGAAGCTAATGGTGAAGTAGCAAAATTGATTTTAGAAAAGTGCAATCGTGTATTTTCAAAGAATAATGGATGAGCAGAACTACAAAAAGGCAATAGTATTCAAAATGGCACTGCACTAAACGTAAATGTGGAACAGTATGATTCAAATGATTTAGTTAATATAAAATATGCACAAATTACATCGGTTGACGTGGAAAGGTCTTTTTCTATGTATAAAAATATATTAGAACCCAATAGAATGAGTTTAAATGAAAGTAACTTGACTAAATATATTATGGTCGTAAATTCCTTTTTTAATATTTAATTTTATGTGTAATTAAAATAAGTTTTTTTTAGAATTAAATTAATACCTAAATGCTTTTTCTTGCTTTTTTTCGCCACTTAAAATGCTTTTTTAGAAATCCGAGCCCTACTCATTACTCATGAAGACTAGACAGTAGACACTATATAGAATATATCCTACCATTGACTAAATAATAATATTATGAATTTCACCTTCACATTGTCAACTTTTTATAATTCCTGCTCTACCTGTTTACCTAGAAAGTCAAAGTTTCCCCAGATATGGTTAGGGTGACTTGTCTAAGCTACATACCATATTCAGTTCTACTTCTGGGTAAACAGGTATAACAGGAATTTACAGGAATTGAGAGCTATATTTATCAGCGCTATAAAAAAATAACAAGATTCTGGTCGGGGAGGTAATGTTTATACATTCAAAGGGTTAAGGGGAAAAAGATCATAGTCAGAAGAAAGAAAAAAATCAAATAATAATAGTACCTTTTGGTTAGTTTCAAATCGACACGTGAGTCGAGTTATGGAAAAAAGATCATGGTCAATGATAGGTATAATACAGGTTTAAATATTACCATAACGGGGAAAATAAGACCAGAGTCCCAAATACTGAACATTTTAGGAATATTGACTACCTATTATCGTTTTTACCCGTAATCCTTCAATTTGGTTCAATCTACAATTTTTCTTCACAACCATACCAAACTTCATAAATCCATACAGGTGCTCAAACACATACAATTTACCTAGTGTTTTTTCAAATATGTAAGAGTACCTAAGTTTTTTAAGAGACACAAAAGACACATTTGCATAAAATATTTTTTTTTTACGTCTACAGCATACGACACAAGCAGTCATTTTGTGTAGATTGCAAACGCCGGTAGATAGCATACGACACGTGTAATACCTACCTGCAAACTTAATGTGATTTACAAATGTTTATGATTTAGACGAATTTTGTGAGAATTCTTACCTATAGTCGCTTTGGTACGTGGTATGTCGCGGTAGCTGTGTCGGCGTAGGAAGTAGGATCAGCGATTCTCAGCGTTCCGTCGATGGCGGACGGCGCTATCGAAAACTGACAAGACGTGACGAGTGGCAAATGTTGAACTGCGAATTGAGTAACTGACAAGTGACAACAGTGACCACGCGATCACGAATCACTACAACGAAACAATTAAAGTTTGTGCGTGTGATCCTACTGTATTGTCGAGTTTAACGGCGTGCGGTGTACAGTAATATTGTTATTATTGAAAATAGAAATAATAAATTAAAAATAACGATATATCAATAGGTAGAAAATGAATTATATGACTAACCGTGTTGACCGTAGAGATATGTCGTTCGCGAACGAACGGATCGTTTTGAACGGGTCACTCTATTGAACGAGTCGACCCGGGTATGGAAAAAAAAAAAGGTCGTTCACTCGTTCATCGTTCATTTTTTTTCGTTGTTATTGTGGTTTCACTGTGGCGACTCGGGTGACAAAACGGTTCATTTGAACGATTCGGGTTGAGAATTGAATAGAATAATTACTTAAAAATAATTATTATTTGGTAAATATTTTTAATTTTGAAGTAATAGTATCAAAAACGACAAAAATGTACATAATTTTTCATATTTTACATTTAAAACATTTTGGTGGGATTTTGGCATGTATTTTACATTTTGATGTATTCAAAATGACGGATAATCATAATAGATGATGTATGCAGTAATACTATCGGATCGTTCAAATGACCCGTTTTGCGAATCATGTGTACTGTGTAGTAGGTATTTGGTTAAACTTTGTCGGTTGCCGCATACTCGCGTTTCGCACCGCCGTCCGCCAAATCCTCGATCGACCTATGCTCCTACGCCCTACGCCGACACAGCTACATACCTCGTACAGATCGGAACGCGACTATAGGTAAGAATTTTGACGAATTTTGTCTAAATCATAGACATTTGCAAATTATATTAAGTTTGCGGGTAGGTACGCGTGTCGTATGCTATATACCGTCGTATATAATCTACAAAAAGTAACTGCTTGGGTCGTACCAATAACCAATGCAGCTGTCGACGTGTAAAAATGTACTCTATACAAATGTGTCCTGTATGTCTCTTTAGAAACTTACTTTTACGTGTCTCCAAAAACAATAAATTGTTTGTGTTTGAGCACCTGTATGGATTTATGAAGTTTGATATGATTGTGAAGCAAATTGTATAACCTTTACTTCCTCCCCAATCTGAGTTTTGTAATTTTTTTATTGCATTGATAAGTATAGTGCTCAATTCCTGTGAATTTCTGACCAGCTTTTTAAAATTCCTGCTATACCTTAGTACCCAGAAAGTAGAACTGGTATGTAGTCTGGGGCAACTTTGACTTTCTAGGAAAACAGGTAGAGCAGGAATTATAAAAAGTTGACAATGTGAAGGCAAAATTCATAATATTATTCTTTAGTCAATGCTAGGATATTGTATTCTAGTGTCTAGTGTCTAGTCTTCATGCGTAATGAGTATAACCAACTTTCGTAATATTATAATATATTATTATTAAATAAAAACAACAAAATACAATATGCTCAAGATACAGCACATGTGCTTTGGATAAATTTAGATATAATCAACTTATTACAATTCCCATCTTACATTCTTACCTCACAACTTCTGACTTTATCTTATCCCAGCTGTCCCTACCGACATTGATTAGGTATTTTGTATATTAGCCCATATTTCAATACCATACCTTTGTCTAGAACCAGGGCCGGATTGGTATGTATCGGCCCATCGAGATTTTCACTTCTATAAGCGGCCCATTTGCATAATGAGTGGCCCAAAATTACGTCTATAATTATTACGAGCTTATAGGTGGCCAATCGTATTTAAACATACATTTATTTTCACTCACACTCACACGACCGGCCCAAACTTTAAGCGGCCCAACGAGATTTTCTCGGTAGCTCTCCTAACCAATCCGGCCCTGTCTAGAACTCACTCATTGATATGAATTCAACTGCAGTAAGTAAGAAAAAAGGTCTCGTAGGTACCTATTCAATATACTTATTTTAATTCATTAATATTTTAATAAATCTAACTAATAATTTAATAATTTCTTAACATCAGCATTATGTTGTTTTTTACCCTGTCTACACTCTAAAGCACCTAAATTTAGTATTAAGCTTAAACACAATGATGATCATTAAAATTAATCACAATTTTTTAAATACCTATATTTAAAGTTGTTAGGCACGTCAGTACTGTAGAAGAAATGGATACCATTCAGGCTTCATCTTGTGAAAATAACGAAAATAATCTAAAGCAAGTTCTGAAATCAA